GACATGGCCATCATCGGGAGGGCAAAGGAACCCCGCTGCTTCAAGAACGGGGGTTCACCTCTGAAGTACTTCTCGCAGACCAACGCGTGGTCCGACTCCGCGACGTTCCTCAAGTGGTGGCTTGAAGTCGTCCTCCCGTTCGTACGGCGCTTCACTCACGAACCTGTGCTGCTGCTGATGGACGGCTGTTCGTCNAGTGGTGGCTTGAAGTCTTCCTCCCGTTCGTTCGGCGCTTCACTCACGAACCTGTGCTGCTGCTGATGGACGGCTGTTCGTCTCACAGTGATCTAGTGGATGATCGCGGGCAAGTTACCGTCAAGACCTACCCTCCGCTGTGCACCGCCGTACACCAACCCATGGATTTGGGGGTCATCGCCAAGACGAAGGTCAACTACAGGAAGGAGCTGCTCGATGTGAAGACATCAACCATGTTGGTGGCTGACACACTTCGCGCCCAGGCCAAAGCCCGCAAGATGATTGTCGGGACAATGGGGCTAGCGCAAGGGCACCAACCTCACGTGCGGGACGCCGCTGAACTTCTCCAGAAAGCATGGGCCAGCGTCACCGCCCAAGACATCGCCAGGTGAGGTTTGAACATGTGATATCGCTGTTGTAAATGTGTAGCTCGCGCAAGTGCGCATGGCTTTGGTGGTACTTTACGTGGGANAGGGCACCAACCTCACGTGCGGGACGCCGCTGAACTTCTCCAGAAAGCATGGGCCAGCGTCACCGCCTAAGACATCGCCAGGTGAGGTTTGAACATGTGATATCGCTGTTGTAAATGTGTAGCTCGCGCAAGTGCGCATGGCTTTGGTGGTACTTTACGTGGGAAAGGTTNGGCCAGCGTCACCGCCCAAGACATCGCCAGGTGAGGTTTGAACATGTGATATCGCTGTTTTAAATGTGTAGCTCGCGCAAGTGCGCATGGCTTTGGTGGTACGTTACGTGGGTAAGGTTGTACGGATAGGTTTTATTTTTCGACTGAATATTCCCGCAACCGCAAATCTCCTTGGTTCTTTGCTAAAAAAAGGCCCTCTCTCGCATCCCTATGAGTCATTGTTTGTCACTGGATTCGTCTTACATCGCTTCTCCACCCAAACACGGATGCATCACAATTTCTGCGCTACCTGGCCAGGTGCTTTGTCAAAGCCGAGTCGCTTCCGGAGGAGATGGCGGCTGAGCTCACCAAGCAACACGGAAAGACCCGGTTCAACGTCGCCGAGCCTGACCTGAAGGCTCTCGCAGAGACTGTCAACACGTTGAGCACGAGCGTGCAGGACGCGCAGAAGCAGGGATCCCGCGTCGTGGACGAGGAGATCAGCGAACTGTTGGCAGAACTCAACATCGAACCCGGAAAGCCGGTCGCGGGGGAAGCGGTGGCCGCAATTCAGCGGTGGGCTACCATCGAGGACGACGAGGAGGTGGTAGAGGCTCTTCGATTGGACGCGGTGGAAGACATGACAGCACTGCTGGCTGGAACGAACTTGTCTACCGGCGGCGACGACGAGGAGGACGAACAGGACCAGGGCGGCGGCGGTGAGAACACGGGGCGCGAGCGCCGTGCCCCACGTGCGCCACCGGGTTATGAAGAACTGTCGTCTCACTTCGGCGCCCTGGAAGTGGCAGCAGAGGACAGTGGCAACGGAGACGCGGCGTTCTACCTAACGAAAGCGAAGATGTCGATGATCGCAGCGCATTCCGCTAGGCGGGTGCGCCAGACAGACATTAGAGGATTTGTCTAGAGGATTTGTCGCGACGTAGAGTTCATGATTGTTTCTTTTTCTTGCGGTTCGCTTCCTGTCGTGTACTTGTAGTTTTTTTTTTTTTTCTTGCAACATCGAAGCGGGTACGCCAGGCAGACACTCCAGTGTCGCGACGTAGTTTGGGGGGGAGATACAACTGTAGTGCAGTAGTATTGATTTTTGTTTTCTTGCAGTGCGCTTCCTGTCGTGTTTCTTTTTCTGTTTTGTCTTTTGTATCTTGCAACATCGAAGGAGGGGCTCTAGGGCTGAGATATAGCTGCGTCCACTCTGTACGAACGGGAGCTTTACAAGCATCTTGCCGTCAACAGCAGTTTCGACAGTTCAGGGTGTGCAGTACAGTTCATGTGCCGAGGCAGGCAGAAAATAACGGTGCAACATGCAAGTAAATATTTTTTGCAACTCGCCCTCTGTGTGTGCGACAGGGGGGAACCATACTTGTCGCGAGAAAGGATGCCTACGCCCACGATAGACCTTCAAAAGTTTGATCTATTTCGTACTCTGGTAGCCCCGCAACGCATGAGCGCCACAGCATGAAGTCAAACATCTCCTCAATAGTGCCGGACCGGCACTATTGAGGATATTCGAAACCTCAATAGTGCCGGTCCGGCACTATTGAGGCACTATTCTGATTAGTGCCGGTGCCCTCAATAGTGCCGATATTATCTCTGGGCACATACCGGCACTATAGCGGGCCCAGTACTGTACCTTCGGGGTGTTGCCAAAGATAGAGTCAGCGCAGGTTGGATGCTGAGCCTTGCTTCATCGCAAGGTTGCTCCCCACCTGACACACAGCTCAACACAACTATCCGTACTCGTCAGCCTCTCCAACAGAGGTTACCAGGCATACGGAAGGTGCGGCGCCCAGCCCCACGTGTACGCGTCCCCTCCGGCATCTCTTCCCCCCTCCCACCAAGGTGTTCGCGGTCGACCTCAGCCAACACAAACAGCGGGAGGACATCGCCAACAAGGTGATGCGCATGATGGGTGGTTCGACGAAGACCTTTGGGACGCCCATCTTCCAAGGACCGCCGGTCACTCCACCGCTGGAGCTGCACTTCCGGCAGGACCCCTGCCTGTTCCGTGAGCGGCTGACGGACGCCTTTAGGATGGTAGGCATGGGAATCGTCCGCCTGGAGGAGGACGCCCCGACCGCCGCTGGCGCGGGGACCGTCATGAAGCCCTGGCCTGACGACCGGACTGCTCTACGTTTCAGCATCGTCTTCGACATGTTCCACAAGACCATGGCTGTCATGGCTTCCATCGCCCGCGGCCAGGATGTCCAGGTTCATAATCTCAACGGGAGCATGGCGTGGGTGCGCTTTCAGCACTTTTCCGTCACGGACGCCCTTCGACTTTTGGTGGCGGAAACAGCGCGCCACAGCATCTCCGGCCGCCACGCGGCGCACGCCCTGGACAACATCCGCCTACAGGAAGGGGAGTATTGGGAGACGGGCCTCAATCGCCTAGCACGCATTGCGCGCGCTGCGAGCGTCCTCCCCGATCGCCCCTACCTGTCCGAAGAGCCATACTTTTGGACGGCAATGCGGTGGAGGACCTTCAAAATCTCATGAACCACGCGGTGGCCCTCTGCTTCCCGCAGCGCGTGGACCAAGGTCCGTTCCACGCGTACCTCGTCAGCGTCATGGAGCACACCCGGCACTTGCTCCAGCAGCACCCCATCGAATCGCACGCCCTTGGGCTCCCACCAGATGCGCCTGCGCGGTGACCTGCAAGACTGTTATCGCAAGTTCGTCACAACCCTGGGCCAGATTTCGTACTACTACGCCCAACCGAGCAACCAATCGGGCGGGCAAGGCCATGTCAGCGCTTCAGCCCCACTCTAAGCGCCTACCCCCGGGGCAGGATGCCTTCTCGCGCCAAGCCAAGCAGCGCGGCTCATCCCTTGCGCTGCTTGAAGGGGAGACTGCTGGCGTCCCGCTGTCGGTGGATCGCCAGGGTTCGACTTCGGACTCGGACGCCGACCGAGTCGACGCCCATGTTGCTGCGGTCGACACTGCTGGGGACGGACCCCCGGCGACCCATGCGGCCCCTCGGGCCCCGTTCGACAGTTGCGCTACGCGGCCAGCTGGTCAATCGCGCCTTCAGGACTTCAGGAAGCGGGAGCGGACGCGTGGCCAAGCGGGTGATGCCGGTACAGGAGTGCGCGACTCGAGTCGCCAGCACCGCACAGAGAGTCAAGCGCCTCAGCCCGCAACCCGAGGGCAGCCGGCCGAGCGTGGACCACCCTCCGGCGCCCCACAGCTTGCCGCCGATGCGCCAGCACCCGACGCTGATCAAACGCAGATCCAGAAGTTCATCATGCTCGATGGGGTCTGCTTCAACTATGCGACGGGATTTCCGTGCCAAAGGATGATGCAGGATCACCACTGTCACCACCTGCACACCGGCGAGCCCATCCCCGTCAAGGCATACCCGCGACCGCCGTCCTGGAACGCGACCACCCCGGTGGCGGCCGTGCAGGAATACGACGAAAACGTCCTGTACGCGGCTGATGCCTTCGCCAGCTGGACAGACTCCTGCGGGCACGAAGCAGCGGAGGACACGCCGGATGCCAGCGCCTGATGGTGCGCCCTGAAGGCACCTCCCTGAGGGACTCTCCGGGCAACATACCACCTCAGCGTGGGCGGGAGCTGGAGGAAGGAGCTGCCTGTGTGGCTGTCTCCGCCGCCGCTCCCGCCTCTGCTGTGAAGCCGTCGACGGGCTCCCACCAAATATGGGTGACGGCGTACCTATGGAACACGGCCCAACGACGGCGTGGCTACTGCACCAGACAGTCATGCCGTGCGGCTGACTACAGAAAATAACGCGTCTCCTTCTATAGGCCATGGTCGTGGAGCAGTGAGGGGGCGTCAGTCATGGGAGAGCCTAGACTATTCTCCGGATGAAAGACGGAGACGGTGCTGTAGCACATGGCGAGAGATGCAGGTAGTACATGTACCGAGGCTACTGCTCTCGAGACTAACTCCTTCGTGTGTGTTTGTTTCGGCCCCGTTCGCTTGACATGCGTGCATGCTGTTGCTTGCTTCCATCAGATATCCTACAGTACACATACATACATACATACACACATACATACCATCGTCCTCCTCCTTCCGTTCACCACTCGCTCTCTCTCTCTCAAACCAGCTAGTACTGTCGTATGACTTTATATTTACAACTTCTGGATGCCTGCGCGCGTTTCTTGAAAAAAGTACAGAGTAAGTAGCATGGACTACTCTGTCGTAGCCGGACAACAAGCGATAAGACGGTTGGTTCTCGTTTCGAAACCAGCCGCGGAGGGAAATAAAAACGGTCCAACCAGCCCCATATTCAGAGTGAGCGCCTACAAGAGAGATGTGACGACACTACACCAACACCTACTGCTTGCTGTACTCCTCGTGGCGATGTGCTACTACTGTAATAATGCTGCTGTGGCATCGTGTTCCCGATGCCGTTTGGAGTTTGTTTGTTTGGGGTTTGTTTGGGGTTGGGGCCCCCACGGCGTCGAGGGAGAGACAGGTCTTTTGGGGGTGGGGGTGCCTTTTAGACATGAACCAACAACCATTGGTTGCCAGTCAAACAAACTCTCGCCGAAAAAAACAAAAAAAACACTGAGAGACAGACTGTTTGAGCGACATTGTCGTGGCCAAACTCTCGCGGAAAAAAAAAAAAAAAACGATGGTGCATGACAGGCACTGCTGTGAAGCTGAAACACATCGGATGTGCCAGCCAAACATAGCACCAGGCCTCCATTCGGCTGATTGATGTTTATTCTGTATGCAGCCTAGTCTGCGTCAGTAAAACTACCAATTTAGTCTGCGCCAAAAGGAAGAAAAGTGCGCATATTGTAGTAGGCAAAGAAATAAATACAGTTGGCGCCCGCAGTTAAGAAATATTTTGTCAAGAATTGAGGCTCACTTTTTCACGAAAAATTGGAAAATAGGGTTAAGAAACATTGCTCAATCTGGGTCACACAATAAGAAATGTCTCAATAAGAAACACAGCGGCGACCGCTGCCCTACTACATAGGAAACGAGGGTTTACGGGAAGTGTGTCGAATAAGAAACAAACTCCACAGCTCTCCCGCTCCTCTTTCCCCCTCTCCCCCTCTCCCCCCCTCCCATAGTGCATTATTATTATTTGTTGTACGACGAGGGGGGGGGG